CCGCGCGATGCGACAATTGAGTTTGCAAAACCCGTGGCAATGCTGACCAGATCGGTGCTGCTGAAGCTTTCACCCAAGTCGGGCAAAATAGAGGTGAAATGCTGCAAGGCAAAGGTCTGAGTGCCAATGGAGGCCGGAGATGGCAGAGACATGAGTCGATTGATTTCCCCCAAATGCTGACGTAGCTCTTTTTTGAAAGATGACTCCAAGTGTTCAGAGGTTGCCCCCATGCCGACCTCTTTGCTCTTCTGCAGCGCCCGAGCGCGCATGATGAAACGGAAGAGGTGGTGCCAGACCTTGAAGGCGGAACGTAATTTGGTCGCAGTCTCGGCTCCAGACGGATTCGAGAGCAGGCGATTCATTGAATGGATGAGGTGAGAGGAAGCCGGTGCGCAGCTAAAGTGCTCTTCGATGTAGACATCAAGAACAGGCTGGAAGTTGGTAAACCGCCGATCTTGAATGATGCCGAGTACTGTCACGAGCGCGTTAAACACTGCATCGTCGAGGTCTCCTTGGTGGTTGAGCGAAGACACAAGGATGGAGAATAATGAATCGAAGATGTCTCGCAAGAACTTGACAATCTCTCCTTCGCCACCAAAGGTGAATCTGGACAGGACTGTATGGATCTGTGATGTGCTTGAGAGACGTTCCCAGTCCAGGAGCTCAAGCAGCACCGAGTTTTGGGTAAAGCGGGTCGAACACAGATATGACCTGATGATGAGCGAATCTCGCGTCAGGGAGGCCGACTTTGCAAGGTTCGCAGGAATAGAAATCTGATCGAGCTTGGTCCTGTCAGCTGCAGACCATGGCGCATCGAGGTAATCGGGTGCCATAATCTGCTGCAGCCTGTCGGCCTTGAACAAGAGCAAGTTGTGTTCTCCATCCTTGACAAAGGCTTTGCCGTCGGGGAAGAGTGGTAGGTACCCAAACGCAAAGGGCCGATCGGACGCATCTGGAGCGGCGTTGCGTCCGGCCGGATTGAGGTTCGTGCTTAGACGATCCGCGGTTTTTCGATTCCGTAGGGTGAAGAACAGGTGGCAACTTTGCATCAGGTCAGGCGGAAGCTGCAGTTTGAGCAATTCGCCAAACGTTGGAGAATTGTTCTTGTAGTAAACCAAAGAGTGGAAGTAGGTCACAGGTGGCTCTCCGCTTCCCTTGATGATCGCACCTTCTACCGTTGCGCCCGCTGCAGTTCGGACTTCGACTGTGACTTGGATATTGCCGCTTGAGCCGCGTGAGATGGACTGCCGGAGCGCCGATACGCCAGTGTTGCTGCCCAATGTCCCGCTGAAAAACTCGCCAGACCAGAGCTTGATGTACACATCGTTTCGGACATCGCTGGGAAAGACCACATCGGGAAATCCGAGACGGTATGTTATCGGCGTGTCATGCATCAGGGATGGGTTCTCGCGGATGATTGTCTTTGCGTCGCCATAGAACACCTTGATGTTGACACCGAGCCTCTCAGCTCTGCAGACGCGTTAGCAGCATATCAGAGGTCCGTACGTAGTGCATACCTGGGGGACCGATCAAACTCCTTTGTCCTGCTGGCGATTATCTCCTGATGGAGCGTGCTGAATCCGCCCTCGTTCATGGGGACAAATATGGGCATGACGTGCTCCCGCATGTTGCTCGTGTCACTCCTGTCTGCGCTCATCTTTGTAAGCTGGCTGAGCTCGAGCACGGCACAACCGAACGGCCGGCGGAAGTAAGTCGGCTGCCCCTCGGAAGTACGTAGGCCAAAAGGCGTTACGGTCCGCCCTCCAACGGTGTTGGTGCCTGGCTGGAGTCCGTTCAGCGTCGCGCTATCGTCTGGCCCCGCGGCGGCCCCGAGCATGCTCGCGACGTCCGAGCTGCCCCTGCGCCCGCTGGCGCCAGACGAGCTCGCCTCCTGGCCGCTCTTCATTCCCCCACATCGGACGATTCGGCAGACGAGGTAGATCGCCTCCTGCACGTCGTGCTCGCCGAGCTCGGTGAACACTGTCCGCAGCCGGCCCATCGTGCCCTGCTCGTTCCACTCCCGCGCGGCGACACCTCGGTGGTTCAGCACCGCACAGTATTCTTCGGTGAGGAATCGCGGCGGGCTGGCGGACTTGTCATACAGACTGAAGTAGAGCTCTACGGTCTCCCCCGGCGCGCAGATGCTCGCCACAAACGCGCGCAGCTCGAGGTAGACGTGGTAGAACTTTGCCCCGCTTTGCGATCCTTTGCCGTTCCTGGACTCAAGATGACGCGTCGTCACGCTGTACGTGTCCTCCGATCTATTGCGGCCGTGCTGGCTCATCATAGGTGAGAATAGGGCGCTGGGGAGCGGCGTCCCCGCTGCGCCGAGCGATGACTGCGGGTTTGAGAGAGCAGAGCCTTTGAAGTTGTACAGCGGTCCGCCGCTAGGGGATGCGTCGATATACGCGAGCGAGGCCTGCATCGCGTACATGCGCACGGCGGACACCCAGCTGCGCGGGTCCACTTCGCCTTCGACATCGACGGTGACGAGCCCACCCCACGCCGGGTGGCGGACGATCACGTCCAGGCCCTGGACAACGTTGCCTCGCACTAGACGGGCCACGCAGTCCCTCCGCAAGTTGAGGGTCTCCTCCAAGCCGAGCGTGTTGGCTAGGAGCTGCCGCCGGCCCAGGTGCAGAGCCTCGATGTGCCCCTGGACAGTCTGGAAGAGGCGATAATCCCGCCGATTGAGGTAGACATACAGCAGCGCATGCCACTCGCGCAGTGCCGCGGCGATCTCGTCCACGAGCGGCTGCTCCGCACCGGAGGAAGTATCGTCCTGGATCTTGAAGCTGGGCAGTGGCCGGGGCGGGCGCTCGATACCGCCTTCGGGATGGGGGATGTTCGTGGGGTGGTTGGTCCGCACGAGCGTCCCGTTCGGCGCGTGGTTTGTGAACCGCGAACTGACGCTCGCTCGCAGTGCCTTCTTGTCCCCGCTGGCGGAACCGTCCACACTCTCGTCCTCCTCCTTGAGCGTCTCCATTGGTCGCCCCGACAGTCCCGGGATCGACCCGCCCGGCGCGTCCAGTCCTGCACGCAGGGAGCGGTACGCGTCTGCGAGCTTGCCTTCGTCGTAGTCGTTTAGCTCGTCGCGGATGTGGATGATACTGGCGGGGAAGAGGGAGACGAAGACGTGCGGCTCGTCGAGGATGCTGGTAGGTACTGTGCGGGTCTGTTGGCCGCCGAGGAGGGAGGTGCTCGTCGCTATTGGCGGAACTGTGGGGTATCGGGCGACATACCTGCATATATGCGTTAGTATGGAGTCTCCGGCGGCTATTGTTGACGCACCCTCGATACCAAATGCTCGCTCCTTCTTTCTGTACATATTTCTCAAACGCATACACCTCGTCCCCGACCTCGAGCCCTTGCCAATCACTCCAATCCCTGCCCTCTCTTTCTCCCACGTCATCTTCTGCGAGCGCCTCCAAGTGATCTGGGTCACTCCCACCCGCACCATTGAGCTTTCTCGAGCCATTGACGCGCGACCCAGTCTTGCGGGAAGAGGCCGTGCGCGCTAAAGGCTGCGCCTGCTGGGCGATGCTAAACGGGAAGGAGACGACGCCGTAGAGGATGGAGGAGAGGGGCTCCCATTTGCCGTAGCTGGTGGAGTTGCGCTGCGGGGAACTTCTCGCCTGCTGAGGCTGATGCGAGGGCGACATTGCAGAGTAGGGATTGTACGCGTTCGTGGTAGATGAGCCCGGTGGGGCGGACATGATGCTGGTATCTGGCGTGAATATTGTGCTGGGACCTGGGGTGACCGTGGCGGACCCTACGGGGGAAGGGGTCGAGGATGTACCAGAGGGCGTCTGAGACACGGCGATGGACGCCTTGGACCCGGCGGGGCGTGGCCCGCGGGGCAGTGACATTGTATGTGGTGTGTCACGCTCGCTGGGCGGGTATGGAGGTGTCCAGCTGGCTGGTAGGTCGTTCCTCGCTGCCGGTGCGTCGGTATGCACCGCACCGCCGCAAGAGTCCTTGGTTCAGTGAGGGCTCGCTGGCTGTCAGAGGCGCGGTAAAGCGCGCAGAAGAGACGCGCAGGGGAAAGGAGCGTGTGGGCGGGAGAATGCCCCTCGTCGCCGTGCTTCTTTCTGTGCTCCCAGTCGTTGGCGTGGCGCCCGAGGCACGAGCGTGTAGGGTCGCTCTTACAGCATTCACCGACGCCCATTTCTTGCACTGCAACCAGCATGCCTCCGCACCTTTGCTTCCGGGCAAAGATATCAATGTCCACGCGATATCGGGGTCCACGTGCACACGCAGTAATTCCGGGTCGATTTCCACCCTGCATTTGCAACGTCAACAACGGTTCAACGTTGCGAAATTCCATCTGCGTAGCTCAGCGCATGGTGATAAGCTCTAGCCTCCTTCAACCGTGCGGCAAATCCGCAGGCAGAATCGTACAACATCCTATCAGCCCTGACGCGCGCACCGCATGTCCGGTCAGACTGCACCGCTCTGATCCCAGGATGGCAACTTCGCGAGGCATGCTGACAATGGTCACTACGTCACCGACTTTCCATGTTGAGTGCAGGCGTCTGATGAAACATGATATTCGGTGGATGATGGCGCGGCATGGAAGTTGCGCAGCACACGCGGGACTGGTCCATGGTTCCGCCGCACGGAGCTCGCATGGCGCAGAAGATCATCAAAACACCATTTCCGCCTCTACGTCAACTTTGAGCGCCGCTTGTATCGTGCCTAATAACAACATTTATACAATCGTTTTCCCAAGTCCCATTGCGTAATGTTTGTCAAAACGCGGTCCCAAAGCACTTGAGGACGATCCAAATGCCTCGCGAGATTTCACCTTAACCGCACGATCTTCAGACCGTTCTTAACACCTATGTCCATTGAATAGACCTAGGAAAGGCCAATAGACGCGGTAGCGCCAATATTTCCACCGCAAACACTCCCGCGGAACCAATTCTCGACCGTTTCACCCCATTCTTGCGTCCTCTCGCAGCCCGGAAAGCTCCTCAAATTATTTAAAAAGGATTAGTTGGACGAGTTGGGAATTGAACCCAAGACTTCATGCAAACACCCAGTGCGAAGCAAGCACTCTACCCCTGAGTTACACGCCCTGTAGATGGGCAAGAGGACGATTTAAGGCTCATTAAGGATGTAAAATTTTTGCGATTACCCGTTTAGGCAGGACCCTACTCTGAGCGGAGGCATTTTGCTCCGCGTCCAGCTCGGACACGTGACCCCGGACGGCCTGCATTCCTATGTGTCTGTCCGACTCGCGGCCTCGGTGCTCTTCGCAGTGAGAGGCAAATGACATTGAACGATAACTATATACCACCGTACAAGCATGCCGAAATAAGCCGACCATATACTACGTTGCACAGTGAGAACATCGATCCTTTCATCGGATTGTGAATTGTCAAAAACGTGTCTACCGGAGGTCTTTCCGTCCGCCTGGTCGAAAAATAAAAATACAGCGAGCTCTAGAGAATGATGCGGAGCGAAAGTGGAAGTGGTAAGTGAGGGCGGTAAATGCGCAGGCGTGGTATGAGGATACAACGAGCGTGATCAAGTGGGCGAATGCTGTCTTGCATGGAGAAAGAAATGGGAAGGGACACCGGAATAATCCGATAAATAGGTAGATACGTTTTCGTCGTCGTCGCGTGTCGTCGTAACTCCTCAGGAGCGTGCGTGGCGGGGCTAGAGACGTTCCTCGAGCGGGCACTCGTTCGCCTCCCGCTCAGCCTTCTTCCCCCGCCGCACGAGCTCGTTCCGCGCGTCCTTGCCCGCCCGACTCCAGACAGCGCGCAGCGCGCCCTCCATCCCGTCGGCAGTCTGGTCTTGCTCGAGGTACATCGCCCGCCTGACTTCTTCCTCCCCCGGGACGAGCGTGACACACCGCTCGAGCGTGGTGCGCTTCTTGTTCCCCGCTGAGGAGGTGAAGGAGACGAGGGAGGAGGCTTCGAGCATGTTGAGCACGTCGTGAAAGTCGTGCGAGCCGAGCGCGGGGGGGAGCGTGCCGCCGTACTTGGAGAGGAGGGCGGTATAGCTGGCGAAGAGCAGGGAGGGCGTGGGTGAGGTGGACTTGGTGGACTTGGTCGGCGAGCTGGGAGAGGGACCGGGGACAAAGGCCAGGCCGAGGGAGGAGCGGTAGGAGGCGACAAGCAGGGCGAGCAGGATGAGCCGCGTGTGCATGGGGAGGGTGCGGACGAGCACCATCGTCGGGCTGGCCGCTGTTGTCGGTGCCGCAGGCGTGGCGTTGCTAGAGGGGAATGTGACGGTCTTGATGGCAGAGAGGATATGGGGCGGCCCGACCTTGACGAGATCACAGGCGATGAAGGGATTCTCAGCTATTCGTTTCCTCCATTCCTTCTCCGCCGCGTCCAGCGCTTTCCTTAGCACCTCGACGAGCACGCGCAGGTCGCCCGTCCGCCCACCCACGCGCCGTGCCGCGAGCTCGAGCGCCTTTTCGTCGATCAGGGTATTGTCGGACGACATCTTGCACCGCACGATCGCGGTCATCTGCTCCCAAGTATATGGGGCGAAACTGACGTGCGTCAGGGAGATGGAGACTGGGAGCTGGGATGGGAGGGAGAGGGAGTTGGCGATAGTGAGCAGGCAGAGGTTGGGGTGCTGTGCCGGGAGGCTGAGGATGCTCGAGAGGACGGCAGGAAGACGGAGGAGAGTGTCGATCTCGTCGAGTGCCAGAACGCTGCAAACGCGTCAGACGGGCTTGATACTCGGTCAAAGACCACCTACAACTTGCACTCCCGCTGCTCAAGCAGTCGCTCCAAGTTCGCCTTCGCATCCTTCACCTTCGCTTCCCCCAGAGCAGCCCACACCGCGTCCCATACCTCCTTCGCGCTCGCAAGCCCCATGCAGTTCACCATCCCCACCCTGACGCCCTCCACCTCCTCCAAAACCTTCTTGATCACCGCGGTCTTCCCCGTGCCCGGCGTGCCAGAGACATACATCACCCGGCTATCCTCTTCAGAGCCGCTGAGAAAGGGGGCGAGGAAGGCGAGCAGCTCGACGCGCTCGTCTTCCCGCCCCGCTAGCTCTGACGGTGGCGCCTTGAGCGCCGCGCGGGCCGAGATGTACACGTTTGGAGAAGGGAGGGGCTTGATGTCTTCGTCTGCGCCCAGTTGCAGGCGGGCCATGTCGAGGGAAGGGGTGAGGAGGGGCGTGTCAAGCGAGATGTCCCCGTCTGAGCTTGGTGTGAGGGGCGGGGTAGGCGCAAGCAGGGGGATGGTGAGGCGCGTCGTTGTTCGACGCGTGCTGGACGAGCGCTGCGGTGCCGTCTCGCTCCTCCTCGGGGCGGGGCGCACGCTCGCCGCCCGCCCACCGGAGCGCGTCCTGCTCCTCGTCACGCGCCCCGGGTCCACATCGAGCTCATCGTGCACGCTGACGACGCTGGGGATTGGGGAGGGCGGGCCGCAGGGAGGAATGTTCTCCTTGTTCGCTGTGGGGTCGTAGTCCGACAGCGGGGAGAGGGAAGTGCGGGCGCGCTTTGGTGTGGGGAGTGCGAGCTGCTTGTTGGTGATTGTGGGGAGGGTGCGGCTGCGCTTTCCTAGGGCCATTGTGTCGTTCGTTCGTTCGTCGTGTGGTATCGCGGTGAGTGTCGCAGTGCCGTCGGGTGGTGGTCGCAGTCGCAGTCGTCGTCGGCGGGGCGGTGGCAGCAGCAGCGGCACAGGAGTGTCTAGTGAAATATGTATATGTGCACCGGAGCCATCGCGGAATAATGTGACATCCCAGCAGAAGCCCGTTCAGCTTCCGTCGTAATGAACCGTAATGATCAACTAGCACCGCGCCGCGCGTCAGATCACGTGCACCAGAGGACTGCGTCAGATGTGTCGCGTCGGATGGAAAGCGTCCGGAGCCGCGCAGGTGGCCAAGTCTGGCTGATCAGCGACTACTCGGAATGTGGTGCAGCTATGCCCACTGGGATGCACAACGGCTGCTGCAGAGGCGCATTCCCTTTCAAGAATGCAATCGACTAGACTTTTCTACACGCCGCTGACGTTCTATCCTATGTTTCCAATTCCTGGCTCGACTCAACAGACGCGACCACGGCATGTCTGGATCGGAAAACCGTTGTGGCCTGCGTGTGACACATGTCGTCTCGGTCGCACTCGAACCTCCGGCTGCCTGCGAATACGTGCCCAGCACGGGATTGTTTCGGGGTTCATCTTATGCGCCTGGGGGTTGGCGCCCCGTCAATTATGCTGTCTGGACAAGGCTTCTGGGAGTGATCTTTCGGCGGTCCAATATATGCGTGTGCTAAATACTAATGAATGGGTTGCACGCTTTAAGTCGGCGTGAAGCGAGCCCTAGCGTAACGCACGCCTTTCCGTTACAAAGGCTGGACGGTCAAAAGCATGGAAAAAGCCGAGTATGCCGCATTAATATTACCGTCCGCCATTGGCGAACCACTCCTTCGTCTTTCCACAATGGTCAAACTTGCACCCCGGGCACCTCAGGCCCATCTGCACGCTCGCATGCCGCCCCGTCGCCTTGACCTCCTTCAGATGCGCAGCGGCGATATCCGCGATGGCCCGCGCGAACACGGGCGAGCCGTTGAGCGACTCGGCGCGGGTGATGTCGATGCCGAGCTGCGATTCGCATCAGGCACCGATACGATAAGGCAGGAGATGAACGCACCTCTTTTGCCTCCTTCCCGTATTCGTGGTCCAGCTCGTACAGCGTCTCGATATGGTCGCTGGTAAATGCGATCGGTACGAGGCACACCTTTTTCTGTCCCAGCCGGGCGAGGCCCTTGAGCGCATCATTCGTCTGCGGGCCCATCCACGCGCTCGGCCCAACCTGGCTCTGCCACACCAGCCGGTACGGGTTGCGGTTCCCCAGCCGGGCCATGACGGCCGAGACGGTCGAGGAGACCTCGAGCACGTAGGGGTCGCCCCGGTTGATGACGGACATGGGGAGGGAGTGGGCGGAGAAGAGCAGGACGACGCTAGCGCGCTCAGAGGCGTCGTAGTGCTCCAGCGCGGCTTCGATGTTGCGTGCAAAGGCCTGTGTGCGCTGTTAGTTGCGTACTGGGGACGGTCAGAAAGCGCACCTCTACCAGCCCGGGGTGCGAGAACCACCGATCAATAGCGCTCCACTCGACGCCCTCCAAGCCAACCTTGACCTCCTCCTCGCCGACCTTTGGCCTCCTGCTCACACCCGTGGCCCATCTCCACATCTCGTTCAAGCTGCTCCCAGTGGTCGAGCACGAGTACTGCGGGTACTGCGTGAACGCCACCGCACGCTTCACCCCGTCCCTTCGCAGCTCGTCCAGGCAGTCCTCCGTGTACGGCCGTGCGTAGCGGAAGGCGACGTACGCCTTGTGCGGGGCGGTGGAAGGGCTCAGCTCGTCCAGCAGGGGGATCATCGCCTGCCCCTGCTGCCGCGTCCAGCGCAGGATGGGCGAGCCCCCGCCGATCGCAGCGTATTGCTTTTCGATCTTTGGTACGCGCCGTTTTGCGATCAGGGGGGCGATGTACTTTTGGAATGGGAGGGGAATGAGGTCGCCGTCGTGGAACAGCCGAGAGAGGAAGTCGTGCACTTCTGGTAACTGGGGCTGGGTCAGCGCGATGGTGGGTCAGCGCGATGGAACACGCACTGTTGAAGGCCCGCCCATGTTCATCATCACGATGGCTACAATGTGCATTAGCTGTATTTCCCCACGTCTAGCCTTTCTTGATGTTACCTGTTGGTCTGCTAGGCCATCAGCATCTCGCCTGCCATCATCGCTGGAACACGTACGGTTTTCTCCCTACAACAGTAGCCATGCCTCTCCCCCCTTTACGTTTCACGCCCGCCAAACTCCTCGAGTAGCTCGCCAGGCAGCTGGCCATATCTCTCTAGCAGACAGGGTGACAAAGGAGAGAGCAAGCAGCGAAGGACGAGGAATGGGCGCAGCCCGCGCAACGTCGTGCAGCGGGTATTTTGGCACTCCCGATCGCGGCGCGCAAGGGACCACCAAACTTCCGCCCGCGGAGATTGCTTATCGCCGAGCTCTCGGCCACCGAGGACACGAAAAACACGGATTGCTGACATCAGGAAGAGTACATCATAAAATGATCATTATGCGCTGCTACACAGGATGGCAGAGCCC